TAACAAAAAAAGGAACGGGACACAAAAAATTCACACAGCGCCACTCCATCCTTCTTCCTTATCTGTTTCTGATCGTCGATGATTGGTCGCAACCCTAGTTGCAGCCTTACACCACCGCCTCATCGACCTCAACCCTTCGTTGTCGCCTTCCTCGACTCTGATTTCTCGTCGCACCATTGCAGCTCTCATGAATCACTAGCATCAACAGGTACCTTTCTTATAACAGATCATGAGATCGATTTTTGTTGTGCTGATTTTTTGAAATTGATTGTTGTTTCTCGCTTAAATGATTTTTCCGGTTTGCTGAAATGCCATAGACATGATGAAATCGATTTCTGATTTGCCTCACATTCGTAGTTTTTTCTGATATTTCTTATGCTGATTTGCTTGTGTGTTGATGTTGCTGGTATGCTGATTTGCGAAAATCAATTTTTCTTTTCAGATTCATGATTCAAGTGTGCTGAAATGGTTTATTTTTCTAGAATTGGTTTAATTTTTCTGATTCTTGTGTACCGAAATGGTTTAATCTTTGTTGAAATGCTCATAGTTTTGTGCTGGAATGGTTTTATCTTTGGTGGAATGGTTGCTGAAATGTCATATTTGTGTGCTAAAATGGTTTAATCTTTACAAATATCTCTAATTTGTTCATATATTTTAGAGTAAGACAGTAAATTAAAAATATTTCTAATTTGTTCTATATTTTCAGGTACTGGTTTTCATCTTGAATCATCAAAAGTGGAAGCAAATTGTGTTTGCTTCAACAACCAAATTGGTGGAACTCAATACACGCTGATAGAATCAAGATAGCTGCAGGGCCTTCCTGTTGTTGTTTTTCTTTTCTTTTTAGAGTAGGAATATGTTGATATAGAAGAAGTTTTGGTAATTTGATGTTGTTGTTTCCATGGTTTTTATTTACATACATATTTATATAAAGGAAAATATGTCATGGTTTTCCTTTTGATTTGAAATTGTGTATACATGATTTGCTATCTCGAATTATTGCTAAAATGATATTATTGATTAATTTTTGTTGGTGGCTTGATGTTTAATTAGGTTTAAACTTGGTTATTGTTGTTTTTAGTTGTTTATGATTGTTTTTTGAAATTGAAAATATGTTACTATTAATTGTTATATCTTTTTTTAAAGTTGAACATACAATGCTATTAATTATTGCTAGTTTTTTTATTCAAATGCTATTAATCTAATGGTATTATTTGATGTTCAATTAGGACTGAGTTATGAATATTAATATTTATTTTGGTAATCGGTGTTAAAAAATTATTTAAGTTTGAAAAAGCAGTTTATTTAAATTTCAGCTTTTTGCAGCAATCTGTAGATGTTAAAAAACAAACAAACTTTTTATTACATGATGCAACCGTTTGGTCCACCTCTTCTGCTGCAGAGGGTTGCAGAGGTGGTCCGCAGACTTCAGGAATTTTTGCTTCGAAAAAACAAACAACGCCTAACTTAACCCTAATGATAGGGTTATTACTTTATGCGAAAAGTCTACTCCAAATTCTTTTTTAAGACACATTCCGAAGTCATTAATGTAACGTCTCAAAAAATCACAATAAATTTAAACTTTTTAAAACAACCCATTTAACTGAAAAGAAGTGTTTACATAATCACTGTTTTCAAAACATTATTCTAAAACAGAGACTCTCAAGATCCAATAAATCATAAAACCAAGGATGTGTACGGTCACGCCTTAGCCTTGCCACGGTCCTATGAAGTACCTGAAACAAAACTAAAACTGTAAGCCAACGCTTAGTGAGTTCCCCCAAAGTACCACCACATAAACATAACAAGCAAGCATGAAAACATGAGAAGCCAGCCTGACTGGATCGCCTTGCATGGCCTACAACCAATCTGGACCGCTCCACGAGCAGCCGGTCTGACTGGACCGCCTCGCAGGGCCTACAATCTATCTGAACCTCTCTACAGGCCGCCGACCTGACTGGACCGCCTCGCAGGGCCTACAACCTTTCCGGTCATCCCCGGGTGTCTTGGCCTATAACACAAAGCAGGACCGCCTCAACCCAAACCAACATGTCGACATATGCAACAAAAAAACATGAACACGAAACCGGTAAATACAGATACTCATACGGATCTAACGGATCATAACAACATAACATCATCGGTAACCAAGATATCAATCCAATGGGCCGACCTTGGTGCC